GTATTCAAGGTGAGGTCAGGACGAAGGCTGAAGGAATGAAGACCTCGGCGCTTCTGTTCGTAATGGCGGTTTTAAGAACGAATAATGCTCTACGGGCCTTTACGGCTGCTGCTGCTGCTGCAGATGGGATGAATTTGGGTATAACTATAACCCCTAGGTCTATCCTACTGCGCATCGATGGTAGGGATTCCGGATTCGAAGGGGAATGGTGTCGACGATTGAAGGATCTGCGATGCCTGAAAGCATGTGGCTCTTTAGCGCGTTGAGCGGTAGATCCATTTGGCTGACCGTTCACATAAATTGTGGATGTCCGCTTGGATGGTGTCTAACTGGCTGATATTGGTAGCTGTGACAGCTTTCCAAACCAAACCTCTATTAGTACACCGATTCGGCTTCAAAGCTGTATCTGTGAAACATATTCCACCCCGTTACACACACCTAGGCGTATTGTTACCACCTATCCAATACCAGGGTTATTCCTTTCCTCGCTTTCACTCAAATTATTAGACTAAACGTCGTGGTACATGCAAACCAGGTAGATGTGACCACTTTCTAAACCAGGCATCTATTAGTACACCGTTTCCGCTTCTAAGCTATATCCGTGAAACATATTCCACCCCGGTGCTTACCTGTAGACGTGTTGTAACCACTTATTCAATACCAGAAATAATCCTTACCTTGCTTTTGCTCGAATTATTTGACTAAACGTTATGAAACATGCAAACCAGGTAGCTGTGACCACTTTCTAAACCGAACCTCTATCAGTACACCGATTCGGCTCCAAAGTTGCATCTTTGAAACACATTCCACCTTGATACATAATCCTAGACCACTTATACATCAGGATAAATATTCTTCACTTCGATTTCACTCGAGTGATTATTCCAAACTTCGTGGTCTGTTTCCCTGCATGCCTATCGGTTTTCTAAGCGTTTTTACGTTTACTTACCTAGCTGTACATATACAAGTATACATACAGGCTTATGCCATTTCTTTTATTCCAC